TATTGCATGATCATTAATTATGTGACAAGTTTGAACCACATCATCTACTTCTTTAGTCTGGCATCTGTAGATCCATAGGCTCAGCGAAGTGGTAGACAAGAGTTAGGAGATAGTTGTACAGCCTTTGTTGAAAGCGCGTAAGGCTTATGTAACTCCACAACAATCGTACAGTCAGGTATGCGATACGCGGTTATAATACAGACGCGCGATACAGGTTTATACCAAATAATCCAATGGTAACAACATTAAGCCATGCATACATTACTGTACAGGGATGTGCAATTGTGCATAGTATGATCTACAGCATCCATAAGATCTCTTTATCCGCAACGCTGCGTGATTGATTGTTTTCCAGATTCATGTCTGTGTCATGTACATTAGTACAGTACAGTGGAATGACCAGAAAAATGATAAGCCTCCATGCTTTTTTGCACTGAAAAGTGGTACTGCTGTACTCGTCTTGTACACTGCACAGAGATCGCGAAAGTGCCTCACTTCTGAGTAACCGATATCGGACGAGTTAGCGCTCTAGGTTTTTTTCGTTTATCTGTATGGCTTACATCATCAAGTTACGGCAAAGGTGACGTCCACTGTACTGTACTCTAACTGTACATATATATAGGTTAGATTTGTATGATATACAGAAACAACATACAAGCCTGAGCTGATATGCATTTTTCATGGTATTTTTCAGATACATTCACTCACTTTTCTACTACATGGTATCAGTTCCGCTAATACTGCTGCAGTACTGACAAAAGTTAAATTAAAAGTAAATTAAAATAATAATAATCGCATATTTGAATAAAGAAGAATAATAAAGATATCAGTTTTGAGGCTAATACTTGATTCGAATCTCTGATAGTGATACTGTACTTTCGATCAATCAATGATTTCTTATTGTTAATTGCGATACTGATAGAGTACAGTACTGTACAATCAGGGACTATTAAACGAACGAGATGGGGCAGGAAACGGTTGTTCGGTATGTTCGCTATACTAATAAATCAATAATGTGGAGGCTGATTATTCAATTGGTCATTTCAATTGTATCGCATATCTGTAAACGGTACACTATACTGTATGCGATTGGCGTCAAAAATTAGCTGCTATTATCCTACTACCTTGCTGTAAGTTGGTTTTATGCAGTATGGTATACAGTTTCAATGTTTCATCGGTAGCATATAGTACAACGACCGAAAAAATGATAAGCCCTCCAAATTAGTTTACTTTACGCTATGGTCGTTTCCTGTTCCGTTTCTTTCTTTTTCTTTCTTTAGTCATTCGGACTACTACAGTAGATATACTGTACAGTACTGTACTATGCAGTGTACTGTACAGTACTGTACAGCATACAGTGTACCGTACGATTGTCATCATTGAGTAACCACGGTATATCGACTTCTATTGTACAGTGTACACTGTACAGTACATTATTTTGACGCTTAACCAATCAAAATCTATCTTTTGAGAAAACGCATCACGTGCAAAATCCAAACAAATTATATTATTTAATGTCATATTATTATATATTACCTATATATATTATATTGTCATATGTCACGATATATATGTCACCGTGACATATACTGTATATTATACAGCGAGTATAACAGCACGATAATTAAGGGTTAAGAAGGCGTAATCATATAAATATTGTATACCTTTCGCTAAATACAGTACTGTACTGGCACATAGGATTGGCTACTAGGCCCAGTCATTCCTCTGTGATGTATCCAAAAATGCTGCTAAAATGGCGTTATATCTTCGTTATACTTGTCCAAACAAATTTACCATATTTTAACGATATTAACGAAGATCTAAAACGATGTTCGGCGCAGAATATCTCTAGCTAAATATGTCAGGTGCACGCCCGTGCACTCCGAAAATCTTGGTTAATGACTTTGTTAACACTTAAATTAACTAATCAATTATTCACAGAATCGCAGCCTAAAAAAATCTGGTTGAACTATCGACGATAAGTTCTTGTAACTCTACTACTGCTTCTATTGTTATATTGTCAAGTGGTGGTTAGTTTCTTATCATAAAATATTGCCCAACATTGTCAGTAAAAGAAAAAACAAATTAGTTTTAAATTAAATTTATATTGATAATAACAATGTACCCAGATAAATAGGCCTGACCAATGACAGTATTATCAAAACAATGGTTGCTATTGTTGCTTCCGTCTATTCGAACTTTCCAATTCTAATTGCCTTCGGGCAAATATGGTTAAATGAATTCGACGGCAGAATACATTGATAGACTGACAATGATACAATGCTGGACTTTGCAATGAGTATATGGCGTCCGAAAATAAAGGATACAATCAATGCAAACTCAAATAAGCTTAACAGTGAAAAGCTACTTCTTTGTTCATTTAATATACTGTACTGTATATATAATGGCGTTCATCAACGACGACGGCTTTGCTCTTATTATATATTATTTATCCAGCAATAATTACAATACTTTTGATCGTCCCCTACTTCAAGAAGATTAGCCACCTGAATATTACTTCAATATCACAACATTTGCATCCTTCTTCCTTTCTATCTATTTGATAGGGTTAACGATTCAGGAAATTATGTTGTAACTATTACTATCCAGGCTAATAATAATATACGCTGGTAAAGTGGAAAGCAAATCCTATACAGTATATTAGGACAATCTTGGACATTTTTTTCCATCCGTGGATGGGAAACTAATGATATTGATTCTTCCAGAAATAGTCATCGCAGAACGAAAGACTGAAGATGATTGAGAAAGATCGACAACAATCAGAGAAAACTGACATTAGCAAGGAGGACAAAATTATTATTATCAAGCGGTTGCCTTGCAGCAATACTCGATGGATTTTAGCGATAACAATCGTAGTCCTTTTAATTGCTATAATTGGCTTGGTTGTCGGACTAATACCGAGGTCCAGTTCTCAATCTCAAGTTGGTACACAAATTGTTACAACAGTTTCAAGTATTAAATCCACCATACAAACACAATCATCACCGTCTAAAATTACGTTTCCTACAACATTACCAATTAACACCAGAAAACCTACCGATGACTACAATACAATTCCATCTACTCCCGACCGTGTTAGCACTCATGCTCCCATTACAAATCCAATTCCAACTTCCAAGTATCCTGCTATGAACAATCCCCGTTTACCGAAACAAATTATACCTGTTCAGTATTGGTTTCAACTCGAGATTAACGTTAAAAATTTAAACTTTTCCGGTTATAACATTATCGAATTAAACGTTACATCACCCACGAAATTAATAATTGTTCATGCTAAGCAGCTAACAATGACTGCAGTTCCTCAAGTATCTAATACTCGTGTCGCGACGGCTAATACAATCTATTATCCCGTCAAAGAACACGGCTACTACTTTCCCAATCAATATTATTATGTGGCATTGAAAGATTCTCTGAATGTTGGCATTTACTATATTAAATATCAATTTCAAGCACCTTTAAGTCGTGATTTTCGGGGATTATACGCGTATCATTACACAAGACAATCTGATCAACTTAAAATGTAAGTATGCCTACTAAGTTTTTTCCTAGCTAAGTTTATGAACCGTACTAGCAGTATTTAACATCCCCATTAATCAGAAATTTTAGACTTTTATGAGTTTTGTAATCAAGCGCCACAATTGTTTTAAAATATTTGCACTAAAATATTCACTAAACATCTAAAATTTCAACCACCCAACCGCTTATACATTAGTTTCGTGTTGCTATGCGTTAGAATCAGTCGAAAAAAATCTGAAATCTAATAGGTCAATTGATACAGTTAAGAAAACCGTATCTGACATTGGGTATCATAAGGGTATGAAAGATTAGCCTTGAATGCATACGCGCATTTAATATGTATTTAATATGCATATATTCTGTAAACAATGTCTTAACTACAATTCAGATTGAAATCCTTAATCAAATAAACAATAGATTGCCTCATTAACTTTTGTTAATCTGATAATTTAACGCCTAAATCGGTCATATCATTAATGATTTTACGTAATTTAATGGCTTAATGGAGGCCTTCTGCAATAGATTCTGATAAAATAATAAAACTGAATATACGTACGTATACCCGTAAATACATTTAGCTTCTCAACTTTGTTATAACTTACTTTTTTTCATTTCTACTTTCCATAAATCATTTTTGTAATACGTTCTATTTCTGTGCGATTTTTAGTCTTCCTATTGATATTTATGTCCTCTGCCAATGTCAAACACCTTCCAATTAAGCTATTATGACCTTAATAATATGTATGCCTTCACTAATGATGTTTATTCTAGATGGGCAGTAGCAAGTCAATCTCAACCTAATTATGCCCGAAGAATAATTCCTTGCTTTGATGAACCATCCTTTCCGGCTGTCTTCGTTGCGAGTGTAATCGTATCGATGGACTATAGTGCAATATCAAATACTGAAATCCTAGATATACAGCCTTACAGCGTGAACAAGATTCGCATTAGATTTGATCGTAAGTCAATCGGCGTAAAGTTGTTAAAATTAACAATGTAACAATAATAATTATTACACTCAAATAGCGCCATCAATCATGATAATATCCCCTTATTATATAGGGATTAAAGCTTCAGTAATTTTTTTTCTCGAAAATATTTAATCATAAGCGATGAAGATTATCCTAACATAATTACGTTATAATATAAATCACAGTTGGATACCTTTATCACATATTCATCTTAGAATAAAAGCCAATTATAGTTTATCTATTCAATCTTGGCTACCATTAACCTTGACCTTCCAATTTTGTATATGTTGTTTTGGACGAAGCTGTACTGAACAATATTAATGAATTATTTATTACATCAGCTACTCATCGTATGCCAAGTTACTTTCTAAGTATCATTGTTCATAATTTCCGCCGGATTCAACAAAAAACCAGGGCCGGATCCTCGGTATGTTACAATAAATTTTAGTTTTAATTATTATGAAATAACTATGAAACTTATTATCATTATAATTACCATTCAAATCCTGTCCTCAGATTCGTATTTGGGCTAGAAGAGCAATCTACCAAGACGGGCAAAATGCTTTGACTGCAGCCGTAAATATAACGAATTATTTCGAAAAAATACTAGCTATTAACTCTCCCTCAAATAAACAAGGTAAGAAAATAATACTGATTTTAAGAATTATTACTTTAGATAGATTGAAATAATTGGTTCTCAGGATTGTGCTGATAGAACTATGGATATGCAGATGTATTATGAATAGCTTGCGCTTTTACTTTTGAGTAACGCGTACACTTGTAAAAATAAATCAAACTGACGATACGTTGAACATTTCATTAGATCATGTGGCACTTCCTACATTTACTGCAGATACCACCGCAAATTGGGGAGTCCTAATTTATCGGGAGGATTTTTTACTTGATAACAATTCCTACTCTTCGTCAAAACAGCAGCAACGAATTGCAGTTACTGTTGCCTATCAAATTGCGCAAATGGTAATATATATTACACCGAAAATAATTGTTTCAAACTGTGAAATTGACATTCGGCAATCTATTTTCATATTAGTTTCAGTTTCTTTGTTTGACATTTACAGATTATTTACAATATTCCTCTTAATTAATAAAAAAAATATTATGAGTGTAGCCACCTTACCAGACTAAAGAGTTTTAACGATGTTAAACTATATTTACAGTGGTTTGGAAGCTTACTAACAATTCGTAAATGGAACGATTTATGGCTTCCAGAATCACTCAGTTGCTTCTTCGAAATAGTTGGAGCAGCATATTACCAGCCTACATTCCAACTAGTAAGTATAGAAATCATAACCTACAATGTATGCTGTATTTCATAATTCTCACATAACATTACTTCAAAGCCATATCATGGAATCGATTATACTCAAAGAATATGTTTATTGTAACCTATGGTTTATCAAATGACGGTTTACAATAGCAGAAATACCGAATTAAAGTGTTAAACTTTATTTACAATATTTTGGTGGGATCTATCCCTTCGTATATCACAGCATACAATAAATTTGTTACTATAAATTATCTGATGATGTTGCTTTGGGATCTAATTATGCTTAATCTTGCAGATGGGTCAATTCATTGTCGATCATGTTCAGTTAGCTCAGAGAACAGAAGGAGTGCTTAATTCTTACCCCTTAGTATCGGCAACGGAGCATTCCCTGACGTTTTCGGATCCTATTTATTGCCATAAGGTATCATATTTTTTAAGCAATTAAAATAAAGTTATTTCAGAACATAAACAAATTTAATTAATTTAATTTAAATAGTTTGAACAATATCGTAAAAGTTTTGATTTAATATATCATGAAGAATGATACTATAATTTTTAGATTTACGTATAACTCTGCATTTTTTATTATTAGCTGTCTACTTATGTTAATCGTAATCATGTTTGTTATCAGGGAGCTGCACTATTTCGTATGTTGCAAAATTACATAGGCGATACCGATTACCTACTTGGAATTACGGTTGTTACATTATTCTATAGATCAAGTTTGATATAATCTCTTTAATTTTACAATTTATCATAAGCCAAATTATGCGATCTTCTAGATCAACCATTCTAGTAAAGATTTGACAACTCATGTGACGTAAAGTAAATTAAGGTATGAATTTCTCATAGGATTACTTGAAGTATCACGCATATCGATTCGCGAATGCTGCTTCCTTATTTAATGCATTGACTAAGGTGAGTAAATATATTGGTACGAGACATGAACGCTTGCGTATAGTCTCGATAACCGTTGTTGCGAACGCTTTACTATTAAAGTATATTAGATGTAGAAACCAATATAGGCTGTTCGGAGCTATTTATGACTCTCCTGAATTTAAGATTTCAGCTTATCGATGCAATATAACTGTCGCTCATATTGAGATTAAGAATTACATAAAAATCTAGATTAATATACATTACAGTACCGTATTTCACACACTTTAGCTAGAAAACGATCAGTTAAGATAATGATGTGCATGTAAGTAGTACGGTAATATATACGAATTCCAGCATAGGCAAAACAGCTCAGTGATAAATAATCGTGCTGTATTAATAGCACTAGTATGATGTTGCTATAATTTCATTATGTGTGGTTAAGTAACTAAACTGTCATTCCTGATTGAATAATGTTAAGGGTAAGGCTTATCTTAATACATCTACGTCCAATTCCCTTAGGCAACTAAGCACCAAAAAAATGTAGCTAATTTCATGCACCCCTGGATAACTCAAAGAGGCTATCCCATAGTTATAGTCCAGCGAGATCCACAAAATATTGACGGCGCCATTTTAACTCAGCTTCCATTTACTTCGTCAGTTTGGTCTAAAAACAGGTATTTTCAAATTTAATCAGATTATCCGTTTTCTGTAATCATGTTATATAATTGAATATAATTGAATACAAACATAACCAAATTTTAATACTTTAAATTAAGGCAGAGCTAAAGTCTACATTTAAAGATAACTATTTCATTTATACTACATTCTTTCAATTGCTCACATTAAAGTATTTTAATATTGCATTTTAGTGATGGATGGCACATTCCCTTCACTTGGTATTATGGAAGCTCTCCCAATAATATCTATCAAAAAGTAATTAACAGGACCTCAGGTATCATGATCTAATTATTATATCAATCTACTTTTAATTAAATATATACTGGCAATGTCCTATAGTCCAAGTACATCTATTTATAATATAGACTTTTATTATAGCTACTAAATAAAAATAAAATTTTAGTAGTATCACATACAAGCATGGCTATTACCTAAAACCTTGATACGATTATAGCTTTTATAACACATTATCTGATTTTATTCCAGCAACTACTAAGATTTCTTGGCCCAGAAATACATGGATTAAAGCAAATTTTAATCAGTATGGATACTATCGCGTAAATTATCCGCTATCAAATTGGCACGCTATTTCATCTGCTCTTCAGTCTAATCCTCATGTAAGATAAAAAATCGAAGTTACATAACAAGTTACGATCTTGTTAAAATTCTATCGATCTATTTACGAAGTTAACTCTGATTTTTATAACAGCAAATGACGAAATTAGATATCTCCAGTTTAATGGATGATGCTTTTGAGCTTGCCAGGTAAGATAATCTATTATTTCGCTAACCAAGAAGTTTAGTGAGTGCTATTAATTACTTCTCTAGAAAATATTTACTGGACTGTTTAAATAGTCACATAGTATATTGTAAAGTATGGTCAGTAAATTAAACCAATATCAATCTTCCTAATTTTGATCAGATATAATTATTTCACTAAGAGAATAGCTAAGTTACAAATTATCACGTTATTTTTATTGGTAGATAAGATACGACTTGACTGATACTGATAAATGAGGTGTAAGAAAGTACAGCATAACGTTTCAGAATTAAAAATTAAACCATCTTTAAATATTTTTAGTTTGCGAAATTTAAGCTACTCAATTCCGCTTAATATGACCAAATATTTAAAACAAGAAACTACTTATTTGCCTTGGAAAACAGCCAATGTACATATGATGAATATCATGCAAGCATTTCTACTTCGACCATCGTACAATGCGTTTAAGGTAATTCTTCAATTAAAACGTGTTTCATATGCTAGTATCCTATTTAATATTTACGCCATTGGTATAGTTTAAAGTGTCATAACTAGTGCTTTCTCGTTAAGTCTTTAGCTGAGTTTTAAATGATCATCAGGACTTGATAGCTACCGTATACTATTGCACGTCTAAGAATCATTTATCATTGAATGTACATTTTCTTTTTATTCTAGAACTATTATACGAAAATTTTAACACCCGTTATCACCGTGGTTGGTTATCAAGATACAGGACATCATAACCATAAGTAACTAGCTCGCTTAATTATTTAATATCTTGATTTTATTTTTAACTAACAATGACTCAGTTGGTCTTAACTGATAATAGTAATAGAAATATTTTTGCTATAATAATGACATTTATGAATTCGGATGATAGATTACTCCGATCTCTCGTCGTTAATTCAGCCTGTTTACTTGGCAATCAATCCTGCATTAATTATGCTTTAACAATGTTCAGAAATTATATGAATAATCCTGCAAACACAGCGTAAGAGTTAATTTCTACGAGATACGACCTTTGCAGTAATGATTAAATTATTGCGCAATAGATATTTATTTAGTGTATAGAGTTATTTCATGCCTCAAATAATCTTCTCTAGAATTCCAGCAAATCTGCGATCGGTGGTATTCCGTTATGGTATTCGATATGGTGGAGATGCAGAATGGAATTTTCTCTATAACCATTTCAAACATGCTTCAAATCTGAACGATAAAATTAGAATGATGCGTGCGCTATCATTTTCAACCCAGAAAGCTAATCTTCAAAGGTAAGAAGCGATTCTCCCCTATTGTTACTATATCAACAACTATTGTGATAAAATAAAACACCTGAAGATGTAAAGTACAGTAGAGAGACTTTATAGTTTTTGCATAGCTACTGTATATATTATTATCAATAAGTAATGTACAAACAAGAACTAGGGTGCTTTTCTGATATGTACATTTGTGACTTTTTACTAGATTCTGAGGGTAACGTTGAGACTAACATTTTTTTCCTAAATACTGCAATATTAAGATAAGACTGAATCTCAGAAGTATAGTGTATGGTTAAATTACTGTAAGCTAATATTGCCGTGTGGATTATATCCAGTCTCTAAATTTACATTAATTAATTTTGGAGGGCTTTATACACTAATCATATAATTAAAAATTACAAAAGCTTCAATTTATTTAATTAACACCCAATTAATATAAAATAGACGTTGTAAAATTGTTTATACACAGATTACGTAAATATATCAACTATATTTACGGTATTTAAATAAATACTATTGCAATACCTTATTTCATGAATGGCTATCTTTTAGTTAACATGTACGGTAGTATTCAAAAATACAGAAAGTTTGACAGAGCAAACAAAATTGTACTAAACTGTAAAGTAACACGCTCGGAAAAAATTTACATTAATGTAATTAAAGGCGATTACAGTATGTCGAAGATATGACATAAGCTGAAGACGAGCGAAAATATTTTTACGCTAGCATTCAGTTCATTATATTACGGACGTAAATAGGCCTGTATGTAAAGAAATTTAAACTCATATATGGAGTAAATCAGTTTAGCTGTAAGAAATTTAGGCTATTCGATATTATCGCTTAGCTATTTATCTATTATTAATAATATAATTTGATATGCGACAGTAATGCGTATATATTCGCACATTATTTTTATCTTAGGTACCTGAACGATTCTATCGCAGATACACTGAATCCATCATACACACTAACAATACTTGACTGGGTAGCTCAGCAAGATATTGGAAGGAGCATAGCTTGGAATTTCGTACGGGCTAATAAAAAATATTTTATGAACAGGTTAAACGGGAAAACAGTTCTCATATGATAATCTTTACGTTGGAGGATATGCAGTAATTTTCGGTTATCGTTCTCATTAATAGTAATTGCTAAATGACAATCTTTTTTAGATTTGGTACCGTAAGGGTCCCAACAGCGTCTATTTCTAAGCACTTTAATACTCAATTTTTATTCAATCAGGTCGGTAATAAATGCTTTAGAAATGGAAAGCGAATCTTTTAATTTCATCACAACATATCGATTTCTAATTGTAGTAGTACCATGTAGTCAAGTTGATGTAGTATTGATCTTGCACTCTTTCATATTGAAGGTACAACAATTTATGACAGCTAACCCCGACAAAAAGGTTAATGAATTTCCACTTCCTAAGAAACAAACGATTCTTTTTAAGGTGCAAAAGAATATTGACTGGCTTCAGCACCACGAGACAACTTTGCAAAAGTGGTTCAATGACAACCTCAAATAGTTTAATTTTAAATTAACTTCAATTTTAAACATGGTATTATTTATTTATTCATTTAAGCACATAGAACAGTAAAGACTGATACTTATGCCAGAATTTGGCTTCAATAATATTTATTCTTACTCCTTATTCGATACTCCATTATTGAATGTAATATTTATCGTACTTCTATGAGTATTCTATTCCAAATAATATATTATTGTTTCTGTATGATTTATGCAATTCTTTCCAAATTTTAATAGCGCAAGTTACTGTGTAACAGCCACTTAGCATTATAAATTCCAATATAAAATTTTGTTTTATTTTGTTTCAAGAGTATGTGTACTTATCGTACAGCACATTATGTGATTCATTGTGCTGCACATTACGTGATTCATCCCTTCAATATTGCATTGTATAGTAAAATAACTACGTAAAATAATAATACCTCATACGACCAAGATTAATGCTGTACAGCAAATCTAAAGTTTGTATGCAATCGTTAAATATTATCTAATCAGCTTTTACAAAAATATATCAATATAGCCATTTACAGTTGCGTTGCTATACGATAAGTTTTGTGCATATTCTTTGCTCTTGTGCCTATGCTTGTATATATATACACATTAGTGTGTGCTGGTATGATAATATGAAAATGGATAAAATCTTAACTACGATTGATTGCCATTTATGTATCTACATATTTATTGATCATTTATAATCCAAAATATTATGACTTAAGTGCTACAACCATTATCAAGTTGTTACAGTATCAAACAAGTTTGCAGTTATACCTTTATCAAATGTTACCAAATAAAGTATGTATCAGTTATTGCAGTAAATGCAATTGTAATAACGCTAAATTTTCGATGTCTCCCAAGCTTTAAGCTATATGCAACGTAACCCTATTTAATACTTGGGTAAATGAATACACTGATTCAATCTAGCAGTAAAATACTCAAGAAAAGATAATAATATCATAAACACGGGGAAAAATAGAAATGATAAAAAGTTTAATGTGCATGCTATTGAATATTGCAAGAGCCAATAACAAAAAATATAAAATTGTTAATCGAATACACAAGTAAAATAGCCTGTAAAGTAGATTAAAATACTTGATTAGAGTATCGCTAGTATACATTGTAGTAAGACAGAGACTAGTGAAAGATAAGAGAGAAGGACGGAGCGCTCATCCCTCTCCATCAAGAAAGGAGTCTTGCAGTACAACTATTAAAATCAATTTCATTGGAATGGTGATCTGCTAATATTATTAGGCTAAAGGTCTTTTCTTATTAATTATATCCTCAAAGAATCAATTAAGCCATTTCATTGTGATGAATATTCTCCTAAATACCTAACCAATTTAATACGGTATCTATTACACTGACATGTAAGGGCTCTATTATAGTGTCAATAAATTCGATCATTTAACTAATTGTCTTATAGTGCGCTGATATATGGTAAACGTCTTAATGATAATTATGGATTTCTAACACTGCTAATAAAATTATAGTATCGTAAAGTATTCCTGATATAACGAGTAGGAAGTACGCGTACACGTATATTCAAGATTAATTTAGCTTGAATCATATGGGATCACATTACAGACATCAATTAGTCGATATAATAGTACCATAGTGTGATTTAATTAAATTATTGATAACCTAATTACGTACACAAATCCATAAATATAAACCCTAGTTATCCTAAATCTTATTCCAAGATCATATTATGAATGAGGTTACAAACTTTTTGTAATATGCACGTATTAAGTAGCAATTTCTACATACGAGCATACTGGCTTATATACTGCATTAATGTTTGTCTTTAAGTAGCTATAAATTATTTCATTATCACTATTATTTGTAGTAATGCAATAGTAAACTTGCTCTAAAATGGATTTTGCTCTTCACTAGGCTAATTAAATGCTTCAAGAATACGATAATATAAATTGAATATCCATATAACCATTCACTATCATTCCTATTAATGTATGAATTCCTTAAGAATACTGACAAACAGAATGCTGTAATGTAACAAAATTCGCTGATGATTAATTTGTATTTGACTGCATATGTAAATAAAGAATTACTAAAATTACTAAAATTACTCTACCGAAAGTATCTTTACAAGCTGTACAGTATAGTATAAGGTATTAATTCCAAAGTGATTCCAACATGACAGTTCCTGGCTTAATCTTACGTTAAGTGTGATATTTCGGAAGGTTGAGAGTTCGGCATTAGTCGCAATAAAGCACAATTGAATAGTTAACCAAAGAGTAACCTTTATTGAGCTAGTGTAAGAGAACAATCGTGTAAGATTATCGTGCGAGTAAGGACGTGACTAGTCGAATAACTATAGTAGTGTAGAATGGGTAAAGCGTGCAAGCTTACCGTGTAACTACCAGAACTAACTAACGAGATAGACGAAAGAAGATAGCTTTTATAATGTTCCTTAGGAGCACAGCAGGAGGAAATTATTTATAGGCGCGAATGATTCATGAAAATAGGTTACTTCTGTGTTAACGCTAATGCTACGGTATAAGTTAGCTAGAGTACAAGATATTTCCACTGAGTAAATTGTTAAATATAGATCATACATATTTAGAATTGTGTTACGGTCTTAGAATTACGCTACAGTCTAGTGAAAACGAATACTTTTACTAAAAATAGACTATATCGTATTTAGAAGTAAACACTACATTAAGCGCCTTTATTTTATGAATTTATTGTGGTTAACAGCCGTTTATTGATCCTCAGCGGAATAATCGCTAACTGCTTATTAATGGATATTTTAGCGCTATCAGCCATTCCTACTTCGCTTTTTTCTAAAGCAATAATACTTCCTGGATACGACGACCAATAGTTTTGTACCTGTAATTGTTATTATTAAAGGAAATAGTTGATCACGAAATGACCGATTGTCAGTGTTCACCTCATTCTACTCGTAAATTGAGTTTGAAATCGTATGCTCTGCTTTGTATGCTAAATTGGGTAATATATGTAATTTGCTTGTCACTACGAAAAAAGTTTATTTAAACATGAGAATAGGTTCAAATTGTGCTACATTGAAGCGATCAACACGCTTCGGGCAATCTAGTTACCAATGTATAAATCCTGCATTAACAAAACAGGAATCCCGTAGTAATCTTTATTTACACTCTTATAGGTCTAATTTAATCTTCTAGGAAAATATAGGATTTGTTTTTCTTCAGGTGTTGGCAATTGTTTTCTCTGCCAAAGTCATTTTGCTAAGTGAATTATTTAAAATTCGGCTTTGAAATGAGATCATTTTACTCTAATCTCGGTCCAGTGATTAATAACGGCCGACTACTAGTTTTTATTTAACAATAGATCGAAAGGAATAACTGCTTTGAGAATTGCGCTCAATAAACTCTTAAACTAATGACCCTAAATTTTCACAAATAATAATGATCAAAGCAATGATTCGTAAGCTTTGTCTATAAAAATTGTAACAGTATCAGCATTGTAACATAGGATTTTCCTAGACTTGATTTATTTATTTACTAATAGGTGAAATTTTTTCGAGATTTGCTTGCCACCATCATCTCTGAGATCTATATTTCCTACTTTTAAACTGTTGAGTACAGCGTGAGCTTCTGTGGAATACTTTTCGTTCGAAAGTATATTGTAAGTTAATTCGTAACTATTCTTCTGATTCTTTGTTTTGTTAAAAGTAAGATAACGGATACTCTAATATGATCGGCAACAATTAATAGATATTGTTTATGCCACTTAATAATTATTGCGAAAGAGAATACTAAGATATGAATCCTGTTCGAGGAATTGATACTCGAACTGTATTAATAATTGCGCGATAGTAGAGTGTTTTTAGTACAATTAGAACAATTTTGTTGGTGATGATGAGAAAATTCATCGCTTTGGCAAATGACGACAAGATCAACTTACCGTTCGAGAACGTTAATTATACATTAATTAATAATCACTTGTATAAAGGACTACATTACGTTGGTAAGTGATTAGCATTACTATAGTCGGCGAAAACTTTAGATTGCAATGTTGTGGCTGTGAAACATATGACGACTATTTCAACAAAGACATATGCTGCATTTCATTAACATTGTTTACATGGGTATCATTGCACATATCATTAATAATTTTAGAGAAAAATCTTGAGCACTATTGTCAACGACCATAATTGCAAGCTACAATGTGCAGAGTAATCCCATTATTCTAACTTAAGCGTTATTTTAATTGGCTACTTTTAATTTACTTTATACAACAATAACTTGGATCGTTATTGGAGGATAACTCTATATTTGTAAATGATCCACTTCGCTTTGTATTTTTAAGCTTGGGTCGCTTAAAAATCTGTTTAGCGAGTCACGCGCTCGAAGTAGAAAAAGACCTGCTCAGAAGTAAAGCATTTAGCCTTGCGCTGACATCCGTACCAAACAGTCTATCAACGTTGACAAATTCTCGTTAGTCAAAAATGGGGACGGAAAAAGCTGATCCTGATGTAGAATTTCGTGGTGAGAAGCAGGCAGTTTCTGGCTTCCACCTATCTAAATTGCAAGTCATATTAATAATTCTTCTATCGATTGGCGTAGTTGTATTTACTGGAATTTTTGCTGGAGTTATCTTGCCTAGCATCAATGCTGCCCACAGTACAAGCACTCAGGCACCAACTACACAACCACCAGCAGGAACTAATAATCCAACATCGACTTCGAATCAAGGTGGCTCGACTTCAACGCCACAGTCTGCCACTTCCAAGCCTTATGCTATTCCTTCACCTCAACCAACACAACCTACACCTACTTCTTCTTATGCCGCCGTTAACAAACCACGTTTGCCCACCGATATTGTACCTGTTCAATATTGGTTTACATTGGAAATTGATATGACCAATTTGAATTTTTCTGGTGACACTACCATCGAGGTTACTGTTAAAAAAGAGACAAATACAATTATTCTTCATGCATCTGGATTGACTATGACTCAAGATCCTCAGGTGACTAATAATCGAAACTATGATGGCTCTACCACTTACTACACGATTAGCACCAAGGGAACGTACGCACCCAATCAATATTACTACATGATGATGCAGAACAATTTAACACCAGGAACATATTATTTACGATTCCGCCATACTGCTCCATTATCAACCCGCTTGGACGGATTATATAAATATCAGTATACTAGAGCGTCCACCGGAGAAAAAATGTAAGTTTTTATACTGGACTGTCTACTGCAATCTCGTCTAAGGTTGCAGCACCTACAGTACTATGTATTTGTATAATATCGAGTTTGCAAAAACTTGTAAGCACTGCTTAAGTGGGATTCAGCCCAGCCCGATAGAGGTAGATTTTCTAGTCAATTACCAGAATGAGCAGTTGAAATTAAAATTGTTTGCCCTGTCAATTTCTGACATTGGACTATGGAAATAGCAACAAAAATGCTCCAGGGTTCGCTTTTATTTTTACTTTTTCCTACAGGTATTACAGAGTACTGTACATGTACCGTAGGCTTGATAGTACTATACACTGTAAAGTACTGTGCATTGTACTACACCGTACCAGTCACCCACTGGGCGTCAGCGTTGGCAAGTCCGTAAACTATGACGATTGCCGCCATGGTTGAGTCGGTACGGCAGTTCTAGTTTGCCACTAGTCGGTATACTATTCCTACATCTATATCGAGTCCTAGTCTGCGAAAGAAAAATATTTCTAGGAGTACAGTATATTAATCTTATTATTATTATTATTATTAAAATGGTATATTGCCAGGGTATCAGCCATCAATGTTGAAAATCAAATGGCAGCTTTAATATTACTGTATCGTAGAAGTTGTGAGAAATGGAATTATACTTTATATTTTGAGTCAATACATAACGTATAGTACTGTACCGTATACTATTTAACCTGAAGTGGCTATGCAACACGCTTTACATTACTGTCCATGTCTTGCCCCAAAATAAGCAAACCACAGCATTTTTATGAATACAAATTGCAAACTCTGAACTAGGAAATGGCATAATTAAATGCTGCATTCCCAGTAAAATTTCCGATTGTGCTTGTTACTTTCCGCAAGCAGCATCTATAATAGTACAAATAGGCGTCAAACACTAAGCTATCATACATCCACACTATTCCATAGTCATCGAGTCTCAAATACGTGCTACTAAAGATCATTTATTGCGCATGAAAAACAATTCAGTAAGCTAGAAATTTTCCGCAACGCAAGCTTAGGGAATCGATAGAACGACCGAACTATACTAAAGCTTTGCAGTGCCGTAGTTGTCAGGAAGCGCAGGGCAAGAAACAGTAAAATTATTTCGAATCCTTGTTTCAAAAAAGGAGTGAAAAATTTCCATTAATCGAGCAACTGAACGTTTCGTAAAATACGGCGAAAAACGCCCTTACTTCTGTCCAATTTGTCAAGCAGTATTCAAACAGCCAAGATAAGTACGGTTCAGGATGCGCACGCTACAGTACGTTACGTCGAGGTGTTTACAGAGAACCTGAAAATTATAGTTAGCATATTCAAAGTTTTTACACACGACGGTACAGTATACAGGGCTGTATCTGATTCTTTGTAAAAAAAACAGCTACTGTAATCATCTGCCGTATGTACTAAGGTCAAATTGATGGCTTAAAATTAGAATAAATTAATAATTAATTAGTGAATAATTTTCACTGTGCCGCAATGTTGATTTTCGATGAAAACGGCTTTGACGCCATACTGAATTGTGGGATATAGTACCGCACTTGAGCAGATCAATTGTCATCAAACAAATCAATATAGCCCATTACTGACTGACATTTAACTGCAGGCAACGCGACTCCAAATGCACTAATGCGATAATGAATACGCGCGCCATTGACGTATTGTAGCTTTAGTTTGCTCAAAAATTCATCATTGTACAGTACAGTGTATACAGTAGTGTAACATTTACTATACTAGTGCACACGATTGCAGCATGGACCGCAAATATTTGCTGCATCACGCCATGCCGAAAAGGCGAAAGCGTAACCGTATTGCATAGCATACCGTCAATAAGAAATTATGATTTTCGTGCGATGTAGCATGGAGCAGAAGAGGGTCGAAAATAAAACGTACACAGTATGCAATCCATGGATGCAATCAGTGTTTGAACAGTGTGCATTCTATGAGTTATACTGCATATTTTATCTGTGAAACAAAGTCCAAACCAGCTCAATGCTAGTTTTTCCTTCTGATCATTACAAATAATAAAACAACTAACAAGAAATACTACGTGCTAGCACGTATATGTCTGAAATATTATTAGTCCTTCAAAGTTGATCGGTTAAATTACGATAGGGTTTATTCTTTTTTTTTTGATCGAGTATGCTTTCCAAGAAACCTTAAATTTGGCCAATTTAGGTGCCGTTGCCTAATTGAACGGATGGATAGTATACTGTAAGCTCCACATGTACACGAGGCTTGATGCTATAGTAGTTCGAAGGTGCACAATACTCAAACGGCTAATTCTCACTTCAGTCGCTTGTTAGTGAGTTGCCAACCACCTTAAATTCTTGCGGTGATGATGATACCGCAAGGCACCTTTTGTCGCTTGCAAAATGTAAATATCTGGCATACGGTAGCGTATTTTCGCTATTGGACCTGAAGACAGATCAAAACAAAAATCTTATGTTTTGCATTCTAACAGGTCGTGCTCATAATATACCTTTACAGTGACTTTACGATTCATTTAAGGTTAATTATGAATACATTTATTGGCTATATCATCTGTCGTTTACTCGAGAATTAACAGCCATTTCTAGTTCGAACGCGCAATTTACTTCTAGATTTATGATCTTATGATGTCGATATCATTTTCTAATCATTAATTCAGATTAGAACACTCGTGTCAGCTAACGTCAAGCTGACACCCCAGAGGCAAATCTTCATTTTCACCTACTGTAAATAAAGGATAGTACATTGCAAGCAAAATATTATTTAGCTTGAAAAATGAAATAAAAGCGTCTTAAACACATAGTATATTTTAATATCATGGTAAATGCCATAAATTACAATTAAAAATATTGCAATATGTTTTATAGATGAGCGTACTAAATTAAATTCCAAATAAATTCTATTAAATTAGCAACATTGATTAGCCGGGTATAAATACTAAAATGGCTGAATTTCGGTTTTATTTAGATGGGGTGTTGGAAGCCAGTGTGAATCATTCGATGCTCGCAGGATTATACCGTGTTTTGATGAACCAGCATTGAAAGCTAGATTTCAAACTACCCTTATCGTTCCTAGCAATTACACTTCCTCGTTAACTAATATGCTTTTAGTCGGTGAACAACCATTGCAAGGAAATAGAGTTCAATTAAGCCATGAAAGTAAGGAAATATTCAAACCGCCGGTTTTATTTGCTGATATATTTCAGCAATAGCGTTCGCAATACAGTACATTCCTTTAACTTATCGAATATGTTTATAATATTGCATTGAATTCTTAACAGTTAGTTATACGTAATGGTAGTTAGACTAATGGAAATATAGACAACGCCGAAATTCTATTTTATTCTAATCTCTAATTCTTTTATTTAAAACAATTTTAGACACTGTTGTTATGTCATCTTATCTATTGGCATTCAGTATCACTGACTTTGATCGAGTTGAAAGAGATGTCGGAGGCATTTTGGTAAAATTGGATGCTAACAACATTACGTGAATTATACATTAAATTTTAGATAGCGTATTCTTATTGCACGATGATAAACAATAAAGAGTCTCTAACTTCATTATTATAACTAAAGATTAATTAATCAACTACAGTATAGGATCTGGGCCCGTAAAGCAATTAAAAATGACGGTAACTATGCACTTGAAGCTGCCATTAACATCACTACTTATTTTGAAAATTTGCTTGGCGTGAAATATCCGTTGCGTAAGCAAGGTAATGGTTATCAAATCGGGTTCATAATCCGGTATACTGTAGTGTAACGGGTGTTCAAAATATCTAACATTTAACTTATTTTTTGATTAGATCATGTTTCTGTTCCTAAATTTGATTCGGGCGCTATGGAAAATTGGGGATTAATCTTATATAGAGAGGAATACTTGTCATATAGTCCATCTTATACCGATGCTAGAGAAAAAGAATTTATAGTGGCTATAATTGCTCACGAATTAGCTCACATGGTAAGTGTCTAAATCTTACTTCCTTTTGAATCCACAGTTCTTAGAAATGGTATCTAATGGAATTGCTATCGATGATTAATTTAACTTTAAATCCACTTCATTTGTTAATTAAAAATGTCTTTATAAGTTATAATCAGTTTGGATAGCTACTAAATCGTTATGATATTCCACAATCGATAAGTAAGAGCTCGGGTAGTGAAAGTATCATGAACTATACTTACTCAAGTACCTAATACTAGAAAAGACCAGCTCTCGCAAATTTGTTTATTCTAGATGCAAACTATCGTATCTACAGTTATAATATCCAATATATTTATCTTTCTTAATAGTGTATTAGCAAACTAGTTAAACTAAATTTTAATTTAGCGACATTAATTGTTACTGTACGTTCTGTTAGCCTATATTTGCCTACTCGTATATGTACGTATCATGTAATGTATATTCTTTATAATTCTCACTTTAAAATTTTTAAGATACATTCAGTAGTCGATAAAATGACTTTGTCAGTATTAAAACATTCTCTATGTAATGTTTGCTTCAGGCAAATGCTTTCTGAAATTGTTTTAAACGATCATTTTAATGATGATATGAAACTTATCATATGAAATTTTTTCAGCCTGTTTCTATACAGCAATATCTTGATTATTATCTGAATTGAAAGCTATCGGGTATTTCATATACCGTGCAATAGCGGAATTATTTTTACTACTATTTTATTATTTAGCTATAATTTTCGCTCGTATGTAGCTAGTTGTGAAAAGCTGATTATAAGACTTGAGTGAAGTGATACTAAGAACAGATATGAGGTTAGTTTAACTCATTTTTCATTTGTTGTAGTGGTTCGGTAACTGGGTTACTATGGTTTGGTGGAACGATTTATGGCTAAACGAAGCTTTTGCAAGTTACTTTGAATATATAGGACAGACAAACTTTGCCCCTGAAACCCTCGGCGTAAGAATAATTTTATTAATTATAATGAAAATCATTTCTCCTGTATTTAAAGTTATTAGATATATTTTAGTAAATAACCGATAACCTAGGAATTATTTAATTAACGTCAAGTTGTCTTTTGAAATTTATAGTGGGATTCCTTTGTTGGTTATGACATGAATTCTGCACTCGTTAACGATCAAACTCCAACATCTCATCCAATTAGTCCTCCAGAACAATACGGTCCTTTCTTCGATAGGATTACTTACCAAAAGGTGAGGATTATCATATCTCTTCTCCCTTCAAGACCAAATATATGAATAGTTATAATTACAAATTATTGTCTACTCCAGACAATTAATTGCGATTGTAATTGTTGTAGGGTGCTACCGTTCTTCGCATGATCGATAACTATCTTGGTCGCCAACCTTTCCTCGATGGATTAAGGGTATTGTTTTATATATTACAGCATAAATATCCGAGTATACGATATGAAAAAGCAACAATATCTAAAATGTTAATAAATGAAGTTATTTTTATCGTTCTACAGCATACTTATTTGTAGATTTTAACACTTTCGTAATTAAATAACTAATTTCAATGCTTTAATGTTTTAAAATAGAATTACTTGGTCAACTTTAACTACTCAAATGCTATTGCATCAAATCTGTTCGACCGTATGACAGAAGTATGTCTAAAGCCTATTAAGAATTGATATAACTATCTTCTAGTTAACTCTAAGAAATTAAATTCTTTTAAGACATACACACTTTTGAGTGTTCTCTGCACATAATTTTACTTGGTAAAAATGCAATATTAAGATGTGTTTAATTTGTAGTTATAATGATTCTTTCGTATTTTTCCCTAAAAGCGATATAACGGTATCAATGTTACTGAACTTATGGGTCCATGGGTATACCAAATGGGCTATCCCATTGTTACTGTAACCCAAGATTCTGCCAACAACAGAGGAATGTTATCACAACAACGCTATCTAACCAATAAGGACTTAAATCCAAGTGTAGATCCATCAACACAACCATATAGATCACCATACGGGTAACTATTATACGTTACAAATGGTGATATATTTAATTGCCTATCTAAAATTATATTATTAATTTTATGAGTTGTGTAATAATCTGTGATTTAAATAAGTCGAAAAAATTAATACGATAGCACAAATTCTTAAAAATTAAAGAATTTTTAAACACGCTGCTAACCATTTATTGATCATACTTTTCTACCTTACCTAGCTATAAATGGAATATTCCGATCACTTGGTTTGTAGGCTCTGCACCTAGTACTATTAACAGAGGGATGTTTAATAGGACATCACGTAAGTTTTCAACTGGAAAGTACTTCCAAACGAATTGTTCTACGCGACGAAATTAATTAATTTATCTTTCTCAATTTAGAATCTATGACCGTTTCCTGGCCGCAAAACACTTGGATTAAGATTAATGCAGGAAGTATGGGTTTCTATCGTGTTAACTACCCACAATCTAACTGGGATCAATTAGCTGCTGCTTTGAATGCAAACCCTAACGTAAGTTAAACTTTAAGCACAGCCTATACAATATCCATTATAGCACTCTTCGCAGTCCTTAACTATAGTGTTTAAACATGTATGAAGATTGATTTTACTTATAATAACTCATGTTATACGATATTGATACGCTATATCATGAATAGCAATTTACTAAGAGAGATGCTGCTGGATTAATTTTGGATTCGATGGCCTTTGCATCGTAAGTCTGTGTGTTATCATGTTGGAAAAGTAGACATAATTCCAACTACCAGTGTAATTTTAAGTAAATTTCTAGTATTTGAAGATATAAAGTCTTGACATTTTCTCATAATAACTTAAATAATTTTATGATATTATAGGACAGGACGCTTGACATACAGCACTGCATTATCCATCACTAATTACTTAGCCAAAGAAAGTGCATATGTACCCTGGTATGTCACATGGGCAGCCTTCTTAGACTATCAACGACGTTTAGCGGCTAGACCCTCGAACCAATATTTTAGGGTAAACTTAATGACCTATAATATAATTTGCTTATGAATCGACTCCATGTACAAATTTTTGTTGATAATATTCTGGATCCAACCTTACTTTTTATGATTATTCATTCATAACCTAATACCTTCTTAAAACATAGAACTATTACGTAAAAATCTTGAAACCACAAGTAGATGCAATTGGCTTTGTTGGAACTGGAACTCATACTGAGAGGTTCGTAGGTGTTCTAAAACTTTCATCGATCTCATAGTCGGTCAGAATACAGTAATTTATCAATTTTCTAGATTTTAAGTGAATTTAAAGCATCATAGCTTAGAATAAAATTGTGATGATCATCATTATCTACGAAAGCCATTACATAATACTTAGTGATTTATGGGATCTTTAATTATCACCCTCTTTCAAACAAAATTATAGTTTCGTTGTTACCGCGGTTATAACAGATAATTTTCATTTTCTCTTAGACTACTCCGAGAAATAATCATGGATGCTGCCTGTTATCAAGGCTATGAACCATGTGTTCAAAATGCAACGGCTATGTTAAGAAATTACATGAGCAATTCCACCACCAACGCGTTAGTATGGCGTAATATTTATTTCACCAACATGACTATCCCTTTAATAAAATAATTTTACTCCTATACATTTCTATTACTAGCGAAAATTAAATAACTTTCCTATAAGTAGTAATTAATTTATTAATTTATATCAATTTTAGTGTTCCAACTGATCTAAAGGAAGTAGTTTACCGTTATGGTATCATGTATGGTGGTAGTGCTGAATGGGACTTCCTTTGGAGCCAATATCATTCTTCTATAACCATCCCTGATAGAGACAAAATATTTTACGCTTTGTCTTTTTCAAGAAATCCTGCCAGCATTAGAAAGTAAGCTTGACAATATTATAACTTTCTTCCAAGTGTTTAAATATCTTGCAAAAAATATATTAATTTAATCAAAAAGCTGTATGCAGTACCATGTGCTGCCGTTAAGAGTTTCTCTATAAGTGACTATATACTATATTTTAAACTCTATGCTCTTCGCCGATAGTACATAAAAATATGGTTGCCTATATGAAAGTAAATCTTTGTTGATAATTTAGCTGTAGTCTAATAAGGCAATCGTTTCGGCATTATAGGTTTTTAAGCTACGCTATGGATCCTACCAAGATCGATAGGGCTGATACCTACTTGGTAATGTTATACTTGACCAGAAATCCTGTTGCTAGACCCTTCGTCTGGGATTTCTTCGTAGAAAACAAGGCTTGGTTCAAGAATAGGTAACATACGGATCTTAAGATTAATCAAACAATCAGTTGCTTTAAAGTTTCTTAATTTTACTGAAATTTAAATTTAACTTATGCTAAAATCTAGTACATTTTTGAAGGTTTATTGTATTAGCTAAGTATATTAACTTATTCATCAATTCTAGATATAACAACTTGAGGTATCCCGCCTATTATGCAAGCTTGTACTTTGATGATGATCATAACTATGCTCGGGTATGATTTGTTTTAAGTTTCTTAATATTCGGTTTAATTTGAGATAAAGATGTTAATATTATTATTAGTGTAATAACGACAAGTTGGATTTTAACTGACGAACGAGTCTTAAACAATCTCTCATTTTATTATTTGATTAGGTTGAGAAATTCTTCGCTGATAATCCAGAGAATACTTATTACACGACCAGGGTAGAAAGAAACACCTTGAACCGTATTAAAGCTAACAAGAATTGGTTAACAAATCATGAAATGCGTTTTACTAAAGCTTGCCGCGATAACAGCATGTAGTAGATAAACAGCTCAATGAATAATCAAACATACTTTTCGGTTGGATTATTATTTAGATTTACAGGCCGTAATATTTGTTGCGTAATCAATCGTGTTTTACTCATTAACTGATCATCTTCATTGTAAAAGTTTCTTTTATCTTTTACAATTTGAACGCTTATTTACTATTAGCTATCTTAATTTAGAGATTAATATTTTCGAGGCCTAGTTTTACTACTTGTTGGCTACTAAGGAATGAGATTTGACTCTATTTAGATAGTTGCTAACCGACCGAAGTTATATTTTCCTCAAAATATGCAACTGCAGTGCTTTTGATTATTTGTGGATACGATTAAAACAAGAGTAGATTTATGGTTTATAGCTCTGTTGTTGATATAATGTTATCAGATTTAAATTGTTTCATTGGTGCTAAAGTAGGCTGATTTGTCATAGTATAATAAAGGTTTTAAGTTGTAACCTCACGGAAAAGTTTATCTGCGAGACTAATGCGCAGTTATTAATTATCTGACAACAGGCATTATGGAACACGATTTCTTTCAATTTCCAGTAAATTAATGATTCACTCTATCTACTATCTCAGATAGAAGCGCTGAAATTCCCTAACACTTTTGATAATATCAGTTATCACTACTACACACTTTGTAGCAAAGAGTTTCAATGATGTCAAATTAATAAGTAGTTACGTTTTCCTTATAGCTGACATTCGACATGGAATGATTTATTAGTGCTCATGTTAGTAGTTACATTAGCCTGATAGCGTCTTCATATTACTTCACTAAAATTTGAGACATACTCGTAATAAAGAGGAGGTCAAAGCCGCCGAGGCTTTCTGACTTTAAGAACTTAATAAAACTATAATAGTCTATTCAAGGATAAAAACTTAAATTAACAAAATTCATGAAAGATGCTTAGTCACTGATATTGTAACTTAAATCTATACATTATTTCCCAAAAATCAAATATATAATCGCAATAGTAATATAATCCTGTACCCAAAATCATTACACAGCTAAAATAGTTGTAGAGAATAGTACTTAAATTGGTTACATGAATTCTTTTTTGCAAGAATAGAAATTGTTAAACCGCTTCTAGATTATATAAACTAATAGCCCTTGATATGAGCGACATCATATCTGTCTGACATGTTCGCACTGTCATATTATGCCAGGATGTAAAACGACTATGGAGGTAAGCTTTGTACAGCTAATCACTGTCTTCGATCAAATTTTAGCAAAGTGATTCTCAAATTTCTACTGTTTCAACATTTTATATAGTTAGCTAGCGGAAAACGGAGTCGTGGTTTTATTTATCAATAAGTTACCGTGTATCTAATAAAACAAGAGGATATAATAATTTCTCAGATGATTTAAAAATTTACAAGTTATCGATTGTCAAGTAACTGTTATGGCATAGATATAAAATACAAACTAGGTTCAAGTATTATTTTGTGTTGCATTAAACATGCACTGTAACTTCGCTGGGAATAATTTTATACCGCTTACCTGTACCTGCATTAAATTATCAAGTAATATAATTAATAATTAACGAAATTCTGGATTACGTTGTTAGATATATTTCGTTAACATTTTGTATATTATACTACTCTGTTAAGTCAGTTGAAATCGAATCATCCTTAAAATTTTCAAAGCGCAAAGTGTTACATCTCTTCTTGTAAGATTAACTTTAAAAATTCCTTTTTATTTTCTCTTTATCAGTAGTAATAGTATTTTCATTTATTAGTAAAATATTGATCAATTCTATAAACAAAACCTATTAAGTAATATTATTCATAACAATCAAGCTTTCTTGCATTGCATTACACCACTAACTAGGCAATCGCTAGATTTCTTTAAGAAAACTAGTACATAAGTAGAGACCGATATCAAAACTATATTAATCTCCAAACCAGTCCATACCTAATATCGAAATAAAATCTTTAAAATGTTTACATGATAAGAACAGTATAATGATTCTTAGATAATTGCCAAATTTTGCTTGTTAGATGCTTGAATTAGTCTACAGTATAACAATATATAGTATACGCGTAATTTGCATTAATACGAATTAAAATTAGCATTCCTTTACTGTTAGAAATCAATCTTAACTTCGAGTGTGATTAAATAATTGAGATCTTGTATAACTGTAAAGTGCATTCATTTAATCTGTTGTTGTAACTGATTGGCAATATCATGACATCCACATTCTTGTAAATCCATAATTAATCGGAACGGTATGGCCTTTCGGCCTGATTTCATCAACCACTGATTTAACATAAGACGAACTTTATCATCAACCGCATTTTCCATATGATCAGTAACATTTAAATCGAACTTAGATAAACCTAGTCTTTTGGCTAATTCTGTCCATTTATTGCCAATATTTTCCATGACGCACTTGAAAAACGGTGACACGGCTAGTAACGGAACAGTAAATGAAGACAGAAATGAGGAATGACTAAAACTTGGCGATATATTTTCTTGTTAAATCCCGAAGTATCGAACATTAAGAGAGTAGTATAAATTATAAAATTGTGCATTGATATATATGTCGTCAAAACTATGTAGAGTTGGTTACTATGCATTATGCCTACTTATGGTCGATCATATTATTTCGTTTATGTGAATTTATACAATGTTATGAAAAGCTAATCATTGTTTATTTACTAAAAATCATCTAAATATTATGGTAAATTTTGCAATAAGTGATTTAATTGCAACAGTTGGAACTAGTAGAAATCATTTTACTCTCAAGTATTGAAAATCATTTACCTGAATTGAGAGGCCTAAATGCTTTATCATCAACTGTTCGATGAGTCTATAAAATGGATGAAACCATTAAACATATCTAACGGTCTTCCTTTCACTGATCTCTTCTCGTTTATTTTAAGTAAACATCATAGAAAAATAATATTCAATATAGTCTAGATGTTTAAAATGTCAGATGTATAATATTTGTTGGTGCTCTCTTGTTCTTGCAAAATATTTTACCATAGCAAGTTTCATTATATAGTGACCACTACGTAAGATGGCGGCCCTTTACCAGGCTTTATTCGCTATCTAGCATATTTCACTGTCTGGTAAATAAGTGCTTAATCTGATGATTTCTATGCTAGCTACAGGTATTATTTTAGAATCTAACATTATAAACTACTTTGTAAAACTTCATATATGCGATTACTCAGGGATATTTTTATCAAGAGCACTAAAAACGATTAAAACTTATATCATAATAGAACGTCAATGATTATAATTACGTATTTGTACATTTAAGTAAGACGAAATATAAATTATATTACTTTTGAACTCCAGAAACCTGTCCTATTCTAAGGATTTTCTAATGATTGCCTTATTTAAAAGTACCTTGAGGATGGACACTTTCCACTTAATTTCTGATCGGTGTTGACTATTGTCACTGATTATAATTCGACCAATTAATCCAGCATCAGGCAATTTCTCGGTCAATTGGCAAGCAAAATCTTCTAAGATCATGCTACCATTGAAGATAACTGGCTGAATAAGCGTTTCTTGTCCCAAATCCCGGTCAGCATTAAAGCCTTTACCCGTCAATTCGATGTTATAATAGCCATTTTTAATGCGCAAATCTCTAGCAAATCCAACTATATTTGAAAATCCAAATTGATGATCTAAAGATTCATTCGATCGTAATATGACAATGCGGAAAGCAGTACGGAAATTATCTTCGCAGTCATCTACCATCAAAACGTAGCAATTATAATAATCTGATATACTCGGATAACGGAAAGCAGGCCCTAATTCGTAATGATCCAAAACTGATCGCTCATATTTATATAACCCTACAAAAGTGGAAAAACGGCTGATTGGAAAGGAAAGGCTTTCATTACCCTGAGCATCTCGATTTACACGGTAATCAGCATCAATTAAATGCCATTCTGGTCTCTTTTCTTCAACACAATCACTATACCATAACGTTAATGGCAATGTATCATCTAAAGTTAAATTGAATTGCTGCCTAATTTTATCGCTATCCGGCAGAGGCAATGTCACTGTTACACAGTCCATGTCAGTACTTTGAAATTCATGATGATGTGGGCGAAACATAACCACAGGTGTAGCTTGCGCAAATGCTTCTGTTTCATATGGATCAGCACCGTATGGCGGATCAGCATAAAATATTTTAATTTCGACTACTAAATCTGTGCTCGCACAATCAGCAGGTATATGACACTCAACTGAAGGGATAGACGGAAGTGTAACATAGCCTCCGATATTGGCTTCAATTTCGTGCTCATATGTAGGGTATCCTGTCAAGAAAGTAAGGATAGCTTATAATTAAATGGCATGAGATATAAATGGCAGTTTTTGAGGAAAATATGTTTTAGTTTCTCTAACAGCATAGACACACATATTTCATCTATTTTGATGACTATTTCTACCTGTATTAGTTAATTCTAATCGATCTTCAAATTTCGCTTTGCCACTCATTATTTCTTCGTTGCTATTACCGATACTGCATTAAAATTTTAAGTTAATATGAATGTAATAGAAGAAAATCTGTTTAACAGAAAGATACAAGCCCGAATAACATGAATTCTATAACGGTCGTCTATCTTACATTTCCAGAGATGCTTCCGAGTTTGAACCTACTAATAAATGATATCGAGTACAAAGTCAAATTATTCAATCGATTAATTTAATAAAATAGTTAGACATAGTGAATGCTATTATTAAATCATAAATTACAACTGTATCATTTTAGCATGATTCTTATAATACAATATATTATGGTAATCTATAGATCAAAGTACGTTTTAAGAATGATAACTGATGCTATCCGGGTTGATCATAGCTAGAGATAACTATACTTTAGTAATTTGTAAATTACAATAACTAACAAGAAGCACATAGAATACATGTGGCAAGTAAACTACGTATAAATTCAAAATAAGCGATGCAATATACGCCAATATAAATGATCAGAAATAGTTTACAGTAAATTTATGTAATGTATCAAGCTAAGAA